CGGAAGACCGTGGGTGCCGCACCATCCCCACCCACGCGAAACGGCGCTGCACGACCCCGACGCAGATGGCATATGCAGAGATTGCCACACTCCGACAACGTCAACTAGCGCCGTTGCTGGCCGCGGACTGACGGCCATTGCCGAAGCAGAAGTCCACGCGCCGCCAGAAGAAGGCATGTCTCAATTAGAACTCGAAGTCACCACGCGTGGCATATTCGGCACGCCTGAGCACCCTCTCATTGGTCTCCCCTCTCAACACCTCCGAGGGATGCTACGCGGAACTGGCGTCGGCACCTTTGATGCGCGTGGCGTGCCACGACCCTACACCCGTGACGACTTTCTACGGATTTACCCCCATTGGCGCGACCCCACGGCAAAACTCACCGTGGAACAGGAGGAAGAATTGGCGCGCCGCGAAGCAGAAGAGCTTCGCCAACAGAGCCTCGCCGAGGCACGCGGAACATTCGCTTGCGCCGCATGGGGCGCCGAAGCAGAAGAAAGCGCCTCCAATGAAGGGGGGATTAAAGCGCTCGAGTCCCGAGACACCTGGGTATTAGTCGACCGCGCGGCAATCAAAGGCGCAAGAATCCTCTCGGGCAAGTGGGTCTTCCGCGTGAAGACCGCAGCAGACGGAACGATCGAGCGCTTCAAGGCGCGCTGGGTAGTGCGCGGCTTCAAGGCACGGAATTGACTTCGACCAGACGTTTGCTCCAGTCAGCCGTCACACCTCGGTTCGAATCCTGCTCGCCATCGCAGCTGCAAGGCACCTACCTCTCCGCCAGATCGACGTCAAGAATGCGTTCCTATACGCGCTAGTAGACGCTGTGATTTACGTGGAGCAGCCGCATACATACGGTGAAGGGGACTCGCGCGTGTGCCAACTGCGCAAGTCACTCTACGGGATCAAGCAGGCGCCGAGGCTGTGGCAGCAGTACCTACACAACATCCTGCTCGAAATCGGATTCAAGCGGATGCCGCACGATCCAGGGATGTACCGCCGCGACTTCCGGGGCGAATACATCCTCCTCACGGTCTACGTCGACGACTTGCTCTACACAGGCTCAAACAATGAACTACTCGAGCAGTTCGAGAAAGCCCTAGCGGGGCGCGTCGACATCACATGCAACTATGAGGTGAAGCAGTTCTTAGGCCTCAACATCTCCTACGCGCCTGAGGCCATTCACCTCTCAGCGGCTAAGTACGCAGAGGAGTTAGGGAAGAGGTTCAACATTTCACCTGCACCTCTCTCAACTCCCTACCGAACCCCCGGACCGAACCACAAACCTGACAACAAAGCCCTACCCCCTGCTGGAATCCAGACTTACCAGCAGCAGCTGGGATGCCTGCTCTTCGCCTCTGTCACCTGCAGGCCAGATCTCTCCTACATCGCAAGTCAGCTGGCCCAGTACTCACGCAAACCAACGGCTGAGAACCTTCTGGATCTGCAGCGCGCCATGCAGTACCTCGTCTCAACGCCCAAGATTGGACTGTGCTACTCAACTGCACCAACCCCATCCTTCAATCTCATCGGCTACGTGGATGCCGATCATGCAGCAGATCCCGACAATCGACGGTCCAGGACTGGCTTCCTGTTCCGACTCGAACCAACGGGACCAATCTCCTGGAACTCGCAGAAGCAGGAACTGGTTGCCCTGTCATCAGCCGAAGCGGAATTCATCGCAGCAACCGCAGCAGTTCGCGAAGGACTCTACTTGCAGGAACTCCTGCAGGAGGCGAAAATTCCAGCTTCGCCCACCTTTCGTCTTCACTGCGACAACCAGAGCGCGATTCGGATCGCGAACAAACCTGGTTTCGTTAACCGCACCAAGCACATTGCGCTGCGGTACTTCTTCGTGAAGGACGAAGTAGACAAGGGCAAGGTCAACTTGACCTATCGCTCGACCGGTGACATGGCAGCGGATTTCCTCACAAAGCGACTGCCACGCCAGCAGTATCAGCACTGCTCCGAACTCAGCGGCGTGGTCAAGCAGGTCAAGTCGAGCTACGGCCAGGAGTGAAGGGGGGTGTTACGAATAGTAACATTTGTTCATTACTGTGCACTCCTCACCGCAGCAAAGGAAGCATGCAGTATCGAGAATGAACACGAAGAGTCAGAGTTGACTCGAAGCGTCAGACGGTTAAGCTGCATCTGGACCGTCGGAGCAGATGGCATCGGACAGCTGCAGGCAGGATGGCTTTGGCGGGAACAGTTTCGTAACTGTACGCGCCGCACGGTTTGCGATGCTGGATGCGCGAATGTTAGCGTGTAACCAGAATGCCCCGTTAATCTCGCAAGATTGTCCACATTTTCCCAGAATCTGCTCCGCACCTGCCCTAGAAATGTGGCGTAGTGCGTCTGTAACATATCGATTCCTACCAACCCAAGGTCTCGATACATTGAACCTGGGTTGGGAAGAGAAAGGGGAATTGAACTGGTTGGAAATCGGGGAAACGAACTGGTTGGCAAGCCAACCACACTTTTATACAAAGTGAGTCGAGAAGTTTCCCGCCGCTGGTTGGAATTACAGCCAATCACAAACATTCGAAGTCCAACACAACTCTTGCGTTGGAATTGCAACCAGTTAGAACATGACAGGTATGGATAACATATTGCATACACTGCATTTTATTCCTTTGTTTGTGCCATGTCATTGAGTAAAAATGATCAACCTTTGCCACATGGGCAAGGCCCATGGTGGTGCACCCTTCCTTGCCATGGGGAAGGTGGCTGCACCCCAAGGGGGTCTAGGGAAGGGGTCTGAAGCCTCTTGGCTCATTCTTCATTTCCTACTCCCAACTAATCAATTGGGAAATAGGATTGTCTTCTCCTCAACTCACCTTGCCTCCAAGATTTGTTACTGCATTTTCCTAGCAACTCTCAGACTTCGACATTTCCAGGAGCTGCTTCTCTCTGTTTGTGTTAGAACTTATCTTTATATGGGTAAATGCCCTTTTAACTAGTGGATCCGTTACAGCGTCATAGATATGTCGGGGGTAGAAACGACTTCACTAAGGGCAGCGGAATGTACGGGTCTCACGCCGAGCTCTTGCCCTTGTGCTCAACAACCTTCTACCCCCTCGGCGCAATTCGTTCACCGAGCGAGAAAATCGTTAATCGTGTTCGCGGGCAACGATGAAATCGCAAGTTTCATTCGCGGGCACGTATCGGGGGTAGACGTAAATGTTCCATCTCCAACCGCCGTGAGTTCGCCGTGCTAGGAGGATTGCTTCGAAATAATTATCACGGTCGAAGTTTTAGTCCGGGCAGCATGCAGCGCGGATTTCGGTTAGCGGAGCCGCTCATAACAAGGGAGGCGAGGGTTTGACCGCGTTTGTTTCTTCTGACAGCCAACCCTAATGCCTCCTCTCTCTCGTCCTCTCGGCTCGAAATCTACAAAGTCGAGTTGCCAGCAATTCAGTCTCAGATTCCGCAAGTTTGCTTCCAGATCTTGCTACAATCTCCAGTCTCCGCAGCTCCAGTCTTTCATAGACACTCTCCAACTCCCGTGCTTCGTTCGAGCTTCGACCGCACCACCTGTGGATGGCAGCCACCCTCGTGAGCAACACCGACGCGCTGAGTTTCTGGAAAGCCCGCGCTGTAGTGAGGCGGACGACAGTTCGCCAGCAGCTGACCTGCTCAGCTCCGTCTGCAGCCGCAGAGAACGAGCTCCTGCAGAAGGAGTGCGCGCAGATCAGCAGCTCCAGCAACGACACTTACGCTCCCTGCTTGGACAGCAATGCTCTGTTCTCTTCCAGCAGCTCGAGTGGCGGACTGAACGACGACGATAAGGTCAGCAGCGTTGTCAATAACTTCGCCTGCAGCAATGGCGCTCTACTTATCACCACTACGAGCAATGATTCAATCAGTTTTGAGAGCTCCGATGAGACCACCAGCGCCTGTGCTGTCACCACCGACGCCACTCGGTTCCTTCCTGGAAGCCGAGTGCTGACTTGCCCTGCAGCCTTGGCTGCGTCAGCGTCGCCAGCACCATCTGCAGCAGCTGCGATTCAACTGATGACTTGAGCTGCAGCAGTGGTAGTTCTAACAGGGACAACACCATAAGCGTTGCCGCAGCACCTGCAGCAGCGATGATCGAATCCCATCGTTCGTGCCTGCTGTGGAGGTTGCATCTGTAACGCAATGCGTGTCAGTGACAAACCCCAAGGTGGTAACCCGAGTTCCTACTGCGGCTCTAAGGCTGCTTCCGTCACTCATTCCCAAGCCAAGAGCGGCAGTGAAGGCTGCTGCTGCAGTGGAGAAGACGAGGCGTGGAGATGTGGCAGAGGCTGTCCCACCCCAGCAGGAAGACGTTGGGAGAAGCACAAGGCAGCATCAGGGCAGGGAGGGTGGTGTGAGTCGCCCTTGGAGACAGACTGCCAGGATGACCCAGGTTGCAGTGGCAAGACCCCCGTGGAGACCGTGAGGGTTGGTGGATGGGCAGCGAGGAAAAAGGCACAGAGCAACAGGGCAGGGACCAGGCAGGCAGCTGCTTGATCAAGAGGGTGGGAGACAGTGGTGATGGATCTTCTTTTATGCATTCCGCATGTCAGGGTGTTGTGGTGGGATGGCTGGCGGTGATGGCATCGTAGCTTCAGACTGCTTCATTGCTGTCGCTTTCTGTGCTTTCTGGTGTGCTGAAGAAAAGAACGCTAGGTGCTTCACTTGGCTTGTGCCAGATTTCCGTGTACTGAAGTCTGCATGCATGAACTCCAATATGGTGCATTGCATTGCAGCTCATTGATGAAACGCAATGGCATTCGTTGTGCAGTGCAGTAACCCTTTATTGATAGCTTGAAAACAGTGCGAGAAAACATCAAACATGCAGCTGTAGCACATGCCTTGCTACCTTGTGTTCACTGCCTTATTACCCGCACCATCACCATCATGCCACGGTAGCTGCATTATTAGCGCGCACTCTCATGCGCACACCACCTTGACACAGCGCATCCCGTTAGCAGAAAATATCGCACCCTGTGCGCAACCCATCTTGCCGCAACGTCTAGAAGTTTTTGCTGCTCTTGTAGATCTCGCCGCCGCGCCACTTGCTCGGAATTACGCCGTCCAGCACCACCTGCTTCCCGCTGCCCGACACGCGCACGCTCACCGCGCGCCCCGCATCCACGACGCCCGTGGCGGGGTTCAGCACCCACGTCGCGCCCCACCCGTTGTTCGTCATGCTCTTCCAGTCGCTGCCGTCCTTCGATATCTCCACCTTCTCCACTCGTCCGCGCCTCGCCGCTCCGAAAATCTGAAGCGCGAAGTAGTATTGGCCGGCATCGGGCATAAGTCTTACCGCCATTCCGCCGCTGCTAGAGCAATCCACCTGATCATACGTAACCTCCACTTGCCCGCCCTGCCCGCCCACGAGTTTGTTCCACACGGGAGTGTCGAGGTTGAAGTTTTCGCCGGCCTGCCCGATCGCTCGCACTTTCACGGAGCCGCCCTTGCATGCGCGGCCCGTGCAGGAAACTTCGTAGCACGTTCCGCAGCCCTTGCTGTTGTCGAACTTGCCCGCAGGCACCTGCGCAACCATGCCGAAATAGGGACTATCGCGGAAGCGTCCTTCGAATCTGCTGTAACACGTGCCTTCGCCGCTCAGGTCGCCGGAGGTAGCCGGGACGGCGTCGGCAGGAGTGAGGGCGAAAGCGCCGAGCAGGACGATTCCGACATACAGCAGGCTGGCAACCTTGGAAACGCGAGCCATGGGGAAAAAAGGAGCAACGAGAAAAATCCAAAGTTGGAAACAGCGAGATTAAATATCAGGCAGTGGATGATTGGAGGGCAGTGGTCGATTTCGATGATGAAAGGGTGGAAAAGCAGGAGATAAATATAGCTGGGTGAGTGGGAGAGATTCGGGAGTTGCGACTCGGGGTTTCAAGCGCAAAGTGCGGCTTCGAGTCGCCATGCCGATTTTCTGGTGCTGGTGCTGCAGAATGGCAATAATTTCAAACTCCCCACGAGCTGACCGCGTGGCGATGGTAACGAAATTGGGAGTGGGACTGTCAGTTGCTGAAGGCAAAGCAATTCTCGTGTTACCACCTGCGAAATGTGGCTGTGGATGTGGATCGTCAAATGAGCAGAGTTACCAGAATTCGAGCTTCGTTCAAACTGAACATTGGCATGGTTTTCTGTTTCATACTCCTTACAGCCAATGACGAACGTTGCGAAGGTCCAATAATCGTTGAGCCTCTTACCTCACCAGCCGTAACTGACGGAACGACGTCATCCCCCTGGAAAGTATTCCCAACAAATACCATAACCGACGAAACCACGTCCCTTCTCGAAATTCTCGTTGAGACGCTCGCCAACCCACTCTTTGACCTTCAGACATCGTTAAACCCAACTTCGTTACCGTCGCCCACAGGTCACTTCGCGAAATGTTCAAAATTATTGTCGTTCCACAGCACCAGCCCAAGGTCTGGGAGGAAATCGGCGTGGCGACTCGAAGCCGCACTTTGCGCTGAACCCCCCCAGCCCCAACCAACCCCTGAATCTCTCCCACTCGCGAAGCCATATAAATCTCCTGCAGTTTCACCCTTGCATCATCGAAATCGGCCACTGCCCTCTAGCATCCACTTCATTCAATCCCGATTTTTCTCGTTGCTCCTTTTTTCCCCATGGCTCGCGTTTCCAAGGTCGCCAGCCTGCTGTGTGTCGGAATCGTCCTGCTCGGCGCTTTCGCCCTCACTCCTGCCGACGCCGTTCCGGCTACCTCCGGCGACCTGAGCGGCGAAGGCACGTGTTACAGCAGATTCGAAGGACGCTTCCGCGATAGTCCCTATTTCGGCATGGTTGCGCAGGTGCCTGCGAGCAAGTTCGACAACAGCAAGGGCTGCGGAACGTGCTACGAAGTTTCCTGCACGGGCCGCGCATGCAAGGGCGGCTCCGTGAAAGTGCGAGCGATCGGGCAGGCCGGCGAAAACTTCAACCTCGACACTCCCGTGTGGAACAAACTCGTGGGCGGGCAGGGCGGGCAAGTGGAGGTTACGTATGATCAGGTGGATTGCTCTAGCAGCGGCGGAATGGCGGTAAGACTTATGCCCGATGCCGGCCAATACTACTTCGCGCTTCAGATTTTCGGAGCGGCGAGGCGCGGACGAGTGGAGAAGGTGGAGATATCGAAGGACGGCAGCGACTGGAAGAGCATGACGAACAACGGGTGGGGCGCGACGTGGGTGCTGAACCCCGCCACGGGCGTCGTGGATGCGGGGCGCGCGGTGAGCGTGCGCGTGTCGGGCAGCGGAAAGCAGGTGGTGCTGGACGGCGTGATCCCGAGCAAGTGGCGCGGCGGCGAGATCTACAAGAGCAGCAAAAACTTCTAGACGTTGCGGCAAGATGGGTTTCAAGCGAAGTAGTTGCTGCTAATAACGGAATGCGCTGTAACGAGGTAGTGTGGAGCACGAGAGCGCTCGCTAATAATGCAGCTACCGTGGCATGGTGGTGTGCAAGGCAGCGAATAAAGCCTGCCAGTCAGTCCTGATGCAGGCAGATGTGCCCCATAAGGCTCCATGCTCATCCTATGTGATGCGATGGGATGAGATGAGATGCAATGCCATGCTATGAGATGAGATGCGATGGCAATAATTCCTCAATCTTGTCGCCTTTTCAGTAGTGGGTGATGCAGCTGTGTGCTCTCTGTTTCCTTGCCCCGTCATCTTTTCAATGAACTTATGTTTTCCTAAGCAAGCAGTGAGATGTGATTGCAAGTTCACAGTGGTATGGCCATGTCTAAAAAAAAAATTGTTTTCATGCGGCGTGTGCATCCACGCCACGAGCATCTTCATCCGGGGGCTACCATACAAGCATCACTAGCTGTGCTTACTTGCCAAGGATTGGCTGGCAGTGGGAATAATGTAATGGCTGGACTGCACTGCACTACTGCACTGTAATATGAATGCTGTTATGAATAATACACGGTTGCGCTGCAGTGCACAATTGTTCCAATCACATGTGTCCCACTTCACACAAATGGATTCGTCACTCTACAGTGGAAGCATCCAACTGCTTTCATTTCAACACAGGAGTCCAGCCCGATCAGCTGGTGGCTGCAGCAGATCCCTCCTCCACTCAAATGTAGCAGCAATCCAGTCAATCCAGGCGCACAAGCAGCAATCCAGGAGCGTGGGATCAGAGGCGGTCGGTCTCGGTGGCGAGGCGCCTGGCCTTGCTCTCCAGCAGCTTCACTGCCTCTGTGAAGAGCACATTGGGCGGCAGTGCTCCCGTGCTCTCCACTGAGACTGTGGGGTGGAGTGCGAGGGAGGGGGGGTGGGAGAGAGAGGAGAGGAGGGAGAGGAGGGAGAGGAGGGAGAGGAGGGAGAGGAGGGAGAGGAGGGAGAGGAGGGAGAGGAGGGAGAGGAGGGAGAGGAGGGAGAGGAGGGAGAGGAGGGAGAGGAGGGAGACGAGGGTCAGGAGGGAGAGGAGAAAGGTGGAGGAAGCAACGGAAATGGTTACGTTATCACACTGGAAGTTCGGACCATAAGAAGGTGGTTGACATGGTAAGGCATGGTGAGGCATGGTAAGGCATGGTAAGGCATGGTGGGGCATGGTGAGACATGGTGAGACATTCTGAGGCATGGACAGGAGACAGGAGACAGGAGACAGGAGACAGGAGACAGGAGACAGGAGACAGGAGACAGGAGACAGGAGACAGGAGACGGGGAGAAGGCTGAACAAAATGGAAGAATTTGGCATGCGGCAGCACAGTATCGCATGAGGATATTTTGTTCAACGACTCGATGTGTTGGCATGATGGATGAAAATACGACATGTCAGGGACAGGAGTTGTGAAGAAACAGTGTCAGTTGAATGGATAGAATATGACACAGAAGAAAGATTTGCAATTAATTTGACAATATTGACAGAAACAACGCCCTGGAAGAGCAACAGTGGTCTTACAAATGAAGTGGTCCCGTTTCCTTCTGAGTTGAATGTAATCGCCCCACCCCTCCTCTCTGATGCATTCCCGACACACTGTGCAGTTGCGCGCACGCGGGGCCGTTGCCCTCTGGATGCCTGCACGCATGGTGATTAGTAGGGCAGGGCAAATGAAGTGGTCTCGTTTCATCCTGAATGTAGTCGCCCCACCCCTCCTCTCTGATTCACTCCCGACACACTGTGCAGTTGCACGCACGCGGGGCCGTTGCCCTTTGGATACCTGCACGCATGGCAATAGGGCAGGGCAAGGGGGAGCAGAGGTGACTTTTGGGTTGACTCAGAAGTCACCTCAATAGGGCGGGGCAAGGGGGAGCATAATTATAATGATCGTTTTGCACTGACTGTCACATACATCGTTCACCATAAAATGTGCTTTTTGGATACACCCATTGGAATGTGCCTGTTGCATGCACCATCCGCTTTTTTCGAGGGAGATTCATGATGCATTCATGCCACCACCCCCCATGTCTTCAATGTCAACAAAAACGTTCATCAAGCACTGTGCTGTGCTCATGCACCCCTGTGCACATGTATGCAGTGCCCCATCGCATCGCATCAGGCATATACAAAACGCCCATGCTCACCGTTCCCCATGTCCTCGATATCAAACACATTCATGGGGCACTTTGCCAGCAGCTGCTCCGCCATCTCGCCCTCCACTGGCTTCCGGAACACCACCTGGGAGGGAGAAGACGAGGGGCAGGGGCAGGGGCAGGGGCAGGGGACGGGGCAGGGGCAGGGGACGGGGCAGGGGCAGGGGACGGGGCAGGGGCAGGGGACGGGGCAGGGGCAGGGGCAGAGGCAGGGGCAGGGGACGGGGCAGGGGCAGGGGCAGGGGACGGGGCCAGGGAAGGAGAAGGAGTTGGGGGGGACAGTTTGAGAGTGCAAGGGGCGCGACGTGGAGGCAAGGGGAATGGGGCAGGGGGAGGGGGAGGGAGAGGGGAGGGAGAGGGGGGGGAGAGGGGGAGGGGGAGGGGGGGGGGGGGGGGGGGGAGAGGGAGGGAGCTGGGCAGCTGTGTGAGAGTCCGAGTGGTGTGCAAAAGGGCCTCTCGTGGCTCCGCCCCTCAACTGCCTTGCAGCACACCACCTGGAATGGCACAAGGGGGAGAGCCAAGGGAGTAAGCGTGAGCAACAGAAGGGTATCCTTGGTCCCACCTATCCGCCTCTTTTTTTAGAACTACAAAAAAAAAAGCCATTAATGACTAGTGGGAGACCAGTGGCAGAGGAGTTAACGAATGGCAGAGCAAGCTACAGGAAGCTACAGGAATGGAGCACACCTCTGGCAGCATGCGGTAAGAAGCGGTGGCAACAGGCGACCACTTGGCGTGGGTGCGGCCGATGCCCTTCACTGCATGAGCCTCCAACTCAATGGCCTGGCGGGAGGGCACACACACAAACCAGACAAGGCATGTCAGAAACAACAATTCTTCACTTCACTTCATCTGCTGCACCGAAAGCCCCGAAAGCCATCTCCAAAGCAAACACACCAGACGACGCATGTCAGAAACAACAGTGCTTCACTTCACAACAGTGCTTCACTTCACAACAGTGCTTCACTTCACAACAGTGCTTCACTTCACAACAGTGCTTCACTTCACA